GACTCTAGAGAATGTTTTATGTATTATTTTATTCAAATTTTCTTATAATAAAAAAAGTAACAGATATAAATGAAAATATAAATTTTATTAAATCATTATTTACCATCTGCATCAATAGTAAACCTTATATAAATTATACTAAAAGAACATTCTTAGAATAACAATATTTCATCAAAATATATCTTTGAGTAGTTATATTTTTTTTAAAATAAAAATTTCCACATTAGTGAATCTAAAATAAAATAATTATATTTTTTTCCGAAAGTTTTGATATTTTAAAAAGGTAACAGTCATAATTTCATATTCACAATTTCATTAACCAAAATAGAACGAGTATATTTTAGAATCACAACAATTATAGAAGAAGATTTTCATTATAAAAAAATTCACAACATGCATAAATGAAAAAAAGAAGTCATAGCAAAATGAATTCACCAAAGGAAAATAAGTTAATATTCAATATAAAATTATATTAAAATAAATTTACCAAAATAAACTAGAATAATAATAACATATTCAGTATAATCTGATATAATATTTCATAAAGGGGAAATGGGCATGATATACCCCTTAACTTTTCCATTTAGAATTGAGATACCCTCGTTATGAAAATGTCTTATAAACTATTCCTTATGCTGTTATAAACTTTCTGTTCTGGAATTATTGATTCCATTATAAGGCGTGTCACGTGTGTCCATTGTGTGTAATTGTTATATTAAGAGTGTCAAAACTAGTGTATCACTTGTGCAAGTGTCACGACCCACAAGTACACCCTAGAAGTTAGAGCATACTTGTGTCGTCACACGGAAAATGAGACTGCAGGAAGTCTCATCTAAGCATATCGTATTATTCATTTCAGAATAAACATACTAAAATGAGTAAGAATTTAAAACATTCTTCACACACGAAGAACTCTTTCATAATGTTACACAACGGAAGACTTTCATCTAAAACAACAAATCTTTACAACATCTACTTGAACCATCTAAACTTTAGAGTATACAACACTTGGGAATAGTCACATACAAGACAATAAAATAAAGACTATGACATAAGGGGCATGTGGATATTGTCCTTGAATCGATCAGGACTCACCAATACTTCATCTTCAAGCCTTACAAACCTATCCATCCTCCATGGTAAATAAAAAATTCCAATTCCCCACACTTTAGTCAAAAAGGGAAAAGAAAGGGTTAGAACATTAGATGTACTAAGTATGAAAACTATGCAAAAACCATGAATTTCGATTAAAACATCATACAAACATTACAACTTAGAAACACATAAGAAATAATTTAAGCAAATAATCACATTTTTGGAAATGTTACAATGAATTCACTTCAATGTACAGTGAACTCAATTCACAGTTACAGTGAAGTTCCTTTCCTTCACTTGGCACACCTTATAACATATAATTCCCTCACTAAAAGCCTCATAAGACTCACTTACGCAATACAAAGAGAGACCGCCCATACACCCTCTCTAAGCACACCTAAATGACCCTTAAGACAATCCATAATGAGATCAAGAAGATAACGTCCATGATTGACCTCTTAAAGATTACCTATGTAATCCTTAAGAATACCTAAGATTGGATCATGTCCACATAAACAACCATCTTCGCTAACTAGACTCATTCTTAAGACTTATATAGGTAAGATAAGAAGGGACCATTCCTATGCCCCCTTCACACCTTAACTAGACAACCTTTAACTACTCTAGAAAAGTACTTATTCATTTTAACATACTTTCTTAACTTAAGTTATTACGTTCATTAGTTTATTTAAGACTCATTTATCACGTAAAGGACATTCAAGTAATGATCTTGAACAAGACCTAGGGACTATAACTAACACCTTCAAAGCCTATTGTGCAATGTCTAGATAGTGTCCCATACCACCAGTTAAACTTCATAGAACTTGTCTAATGATAGTAGGTATCCCATATGATGAGAATAGAAATAACTGACATACACCATGGTAGTAAAGCATGGAATCCTGAGTTCTAACCTACTCCGATGAGGGTGTTCTACTTGCCAATGGTAGAACTTGGACACATCCCATTTAGGCACACGATTAAAGAATATGAAGGGCATGCTTTGTAATCTAGTCTCATTATTAACTAGAACTACTTCCTTTACCACACTCATTTGGTTCTATACTTCGTTCTCATTGAGTAATTCACATTAAAGGTTCATACAATTAGGTTCCATATTTAGTTCATAACCCTATCACATTTACCCTACCAAAGTCCTCTAAGGTTACCTTCCAATGGCGACAATAATCTCATGATGACTTTCTTAAGGTTTGATATGATGTCGTTCCATCAAATCAAACTTAAGATCATCATTCCTTTACTTGAAGGATACCATTACGACTTTTGGCTTCAACATTCAGAACCTTACCACTAAGTTCAAGGTTTCACATAAAGACCTTTTTAACATCATTCAAGGTCATATATCATTCATACATTCAAGAATAAGAGAGTTTAGCATCGTAATTCAAGGCATCACATATTCACTTTCATACATCCATCAAGTACGGGACATAAGTCAACCAAGACAAGACAACACATACTTCACTTTAACAAATATTACATGTCATTCTTAAGTCACTTAGGAATAACCATTATTATCTTTAACTCATCCTATACACTACCATATCATCATGAATATAACTATTGTAGACTCCTATAGTCAGTAGGAACAACCATGCATCAATCTTAAGACTACACACACAAGCACATAGTCATAATCTACATGATTTCCTAACATACATAAAAAGAACACATACTTTCACATTACTTCGCATATAGATAGATATTCTCATACTTCACATAAATCAATCAAAAATTATCATAATACTTCAAGTAGTGCCAACAAGGACATAATCATCATATTGCATAAAGTAACGCCGACAAGGCCACATCAATTTACATAGCACCGCCACCATAAGTGGACCATACCAATCATAACATAATTGAAGTCTAATTAACATAAAATAAAAGTAATTAGGGAAGCATAAAAGAACTCCATCTTACCACATCGAATCCAAAGCTAATTCATCCAATTCCATACCATAAGGCCATTACCCATTGCCATGAACATCAATTCAATACATAAACCATAATACTCAATGAATCTAAGTCAGTTCAATATATATTTATCAATATAAGACCAATAAGACATCGATTGAATACAATTATTACATTAATCAATAGCCCATAGAAAACTACACTAGAATTCATAGGCATTAAGTCAATATAATTTCAATAGGCTTAAAAGTAAAAAGATCTAAAAATATACAATACTCAATTAATTAAATTGAAACAGCCTATAAAATAATCAATTATAATTTATACATGAATCAAAAACTCATAACGATCTACACAATAATTCATCAATATCAAAGCATTATCTTATAATCCATATTTTAGTCAAATTGAGAGATTTGTGCAGGTCAAGGGTTCACGGAGAATTTTATTGGAAAACATAAATTATATATCAATAACATCATATCTTAACGTTTGAAAAACTTTCATGCAAGAAACCAAGACTTAGAGTAGAAATTGAACTTTTCATCTTTTTGAAATCTTTGAAAATCATCTTCGAAATTGGCTCTAAGGTGATATCAAACCTTAGATGAAGAACTCCCATACCTTATTAGAAGAAACCAATGAAAATTGAATAATAAACTCCATTGAAGAACCATCTTCAAGCTCCATCTTCACCTTGCACTCTCATGGAGGTTTTTGAGAAACTTTAGCAGGGGAATGTGTTTTAATTTGGGTGTTAGGGTTTAACTGAGAATTTAACGACTTATATACTATTAAAATACCCATAAACACTCAAAACATCCGTCCAACGTCTTATTGGGTTGTGGGGTGAATTTAAAAATTTACCCCCTCATCTTTATAGTAAAGCTGCGCAGGATAGCAGCATCGACGGCCTACCATCGACGGTTCGTGGTTGAGTCCACGCCCCGTCGATGGGGTCTCGTGTTTTGCTCCTAATGCTACTCAATCTTCAATCTTTTAGGATCCATTAACGCCACCCATTGACGGTCCGTCGCCTGGTCGAATGGTCGTTGATTTTGTCGTCGTTTGGCGCTGCCTGGCAGTGTTAAGCTCCAAGTCGGGGTCCTCAGTTAAGGCCCTTTGTGAGTCCTATTCTAAATTGTACCCAAACGTTTCCAACACAAATATATTTTCATACGAGTTTAGGAACTATCACAAGAGTTTCATCCAAAATGAACACGTAAAACTCGACGAAACATGCATAGACACACAAGGTCGTTTCAAGGCAAACCTTTCGAACATAATGGACGGTCTTGCACGTTTGACCTCCAAACTTCACAAAACACCACACACTGAAGATATACACCATAATAATTGTCATAATGACCTTGTAACATCATGAATCACATATAAAAACATAAAACCACATATTGGGCACATAGGTCACTTAGTCGTCGATCATCTTGGTTTTCCCTTGACGTTTGACTTCCAATGCACCTAAACACTTAGAGATTGTCCCAAAACCATATTATAAACAATTTTAGAACCTTAGACCATCATTACAACCTTTTTAGGCTCTATCTTCACCTAAGTCATTTTCAGGGTCTTACTAGAAGCTAGTAAATAACTTATGAATGGTATTTCTCACGTGTTTTTGCCCTATAATAGGCTTGCTAACTTCATTATGAGATGATACTAAGAACTGAAATGATATATAACTTTTATCCTTCCCTTAATTATTGTTCTCTTTCATTATTACTTTTATTTTATAACATTTTCATATGTACATAATTTTTAAAAAAATATTCATCTTATTATTTAATATTAGTATAATTATTTTCCTTTATTTAGAAGTGGGAGTTAGAAAGTACTAACACAACATCAAATAGTTTTACTACAAGTAACGAAAATTGTACCAGAAACTTTGGCCCTATTTCTTTGTTTGCTTAAGGCAACGTGTATATATTTAAGTTCACTCCCCCAATTTCCCCTTCTTTTTTTTTGGGAAAGAAACGTATTACCTTGTTTCTTTACCTAAGAGATCCTATTTTCACTTTCTCCCCAAATTTTTTCAGCTACTTACCCTTTTTTCTACAAAAATTGATGCATTCCATAACTTGAAATTGGTCCTTGAAGAAGGTTGGTCAAAGAGCCCTTCGTATTTTGTCCTTTTTTTTTGGTCAGTTTATTTTTCTAAATATTGGATTGAATAATGTGCAGAAAGTTCAATACTTAGAAGAAGAAATCACATACTAATTCTGTTTATCTTATATGTCCGAGCTTTTAAGAAACCGTATTGTTTATGTTCATGTTCATGGAAGGCAAAGGAATGTCCGATGAAACTTCACCAATTCTCCATACCAACTACCTCTTTTCCTCTTTTATTTTGACCTTTGTGCTTTTATTTCTTTAGTTTTGAATTTAGGTCATATTTTATCAATTGTTTATTCGATTGGTTCGATTTTTTACTCAATTTTACTTATCTATTTGGTTTTTGTGTTTCTGTAATTGCATGCACTGTATTTACGGTTAATTCGATATTTTCCTTCTAGTTCTTTTCTCCTTCTCCTATTTGTTTCCCTATTTATTAGTTTATATTTTTTTAAAATTGATTATTGAAATTTAGTTTTCCTTATGGTTTGTTCTTAATGTGAGTGATTTTAAGATTTATTAATTTTTCATGTGTAGGTCTTTGTATTTATTTCAAGGAGAAATGAGAGGATTGGAAACATGATATGTAGGGATGGGCATAGAAACTTCATATTCAAAAAAAAATCTACTCGATTTCTCCAATTTTCATAGGTAAGTACATAGATTTCTTGTCTACAGTCTAGATAATTATACTCTTTTAGTATGCTTCATCTTCTCTAATTTTATTATAACAATCTTGACATAGTATTATACTTTCTCATCATATTCAACTCTGTCCGTGATCAAATTATGTGTGTTGTCGATATTTTTATTTCAAAACATTTGCTATATTTTTTTTAATGTAGAATCTTATGTGAGATAATCCCTTTTGTGGGACTAATCTTTAAAAGTTACATTCTGCTACAATTATAATTGCTCTTTATTTGTTTTTATCGATCATTAGTACACTGTTAAGCCTTCAAGGGGTTTTAAAGCTTCTTTGTTCACCTATATTTTTCATTTCATGTTGGCTAAATTAAATGAACTGTAAATCCAACCATCTTGGAACTTGACGAAATTAAAACAGATAAGAAGCTAGAGAAAGCTGGATTACATTTTAGTGTACATGTCTCTTTTTCCAAAATTGGCACTGATTAAATGAATAATGGATACGTTGATAATTTTTTTTGTCATTGGTGTCCTTTTACAGAAATTAGGATCTTCATGTGTTTTTATTCAACGTGTTTCTCGTTAAATTCACCTATATATTTCGGTACGGTTAGAATAAATTGTCATCGTTCTTTATCGTTCATTAAATGTAAAATTTATGTATGGACAATAATGTCTTATACTTGAATATAAAATGATTCTACTAAATTTGGAGGTGTATGTATATCTTTTCGATTGAGGCAAATCACTTTTGTTACGCGTCCCTTTGCTAAAGTTGTGTATATACTTTTCTCCTACTAATTGTTTTCTCCAATTTATTTTAAATTTACAGGTAACACAATCTGTCACTTTCTTTTAGTTATTTCAAATGAGTTTGTCTTTAATTACATAGGTTCAACAATATTTTGTAGATATTTATTTCCTTATGGATTTGACATGTTACCTCTACTAGATTGTGAAGATTTTCTTTTTGACTTTATGGAATGTTTGTAACTAAAATAACATAATATATAATTTTCATTTTTTCTCCTTCCCTATTCTTATCCAAATATTGATTCACTATATAATGAATTCAAGATTCCATACAAACATTTCTTATATTCATCTATTTTAGTCTCTATGCTCGCTTTACCTTGCAAGATAAATGAAATGAATTGATAATCCATAATGATATAGCCCTCTGAAAAATGATGTGTTGAATTATTGTACTTTTAATAGGAAGTTGATATATATAAATCTCTATGGGCAAGCGTACAAAACAATTCTTATGATAATGCTTTCAAAGATGACATTAAAGTTCCAACAACTTCTTAATATTTGAGAGCATCTTCAATGAAATTATGTATATAAAATTCTATTGTAGTTTAGTGACTTCTGTTAGACTCGAAATGTAGAAATGACTTCTCCTCTGAATATGTTAACAAAAGAAATCATCTTAGTTGGATGTAAAATTTGGTACAAGGTATGTACTTTTGAATGTATACATAATTTTGTGTACCTTTTGTTGAGCTTGAAAATTATTTTGAAGAGCTTGTGGTGAAGTTTAAAAGACTATGTATTACAGATACTGGATTTTTCTTTCAACCATCAGATGAAATCATGTTGGTGACTTTTGTTTCGCAACTCGACGATGAAACAATTAAAGGTTGATCTTAAGTTCAATGACAAGGTAACAATTTGCTAGATATATTAATTATTGTAGTTACTTCCTTGAAACTTGTAATTGTTGTTGTTATTTTTAACTGATGCACATATTTTCCTCTTCTATGAGACTTCTCTAATTTGAGCATAGAGTCTAAGGTAGGAAAAAACAAGGGATTATGGTTAGTCTTAACCTAGAGCGTATTATATATGATGTTAAAAGGCTCATTCGATATAAGTTTGTTATCAACTAAGAAGTAAGATATTTATGTGAAAATAATTAAATAATATCGTGGGGCTTGTGATTCTTGAGATCTTTGGTATCCTAAATAAAAAGTATGAGTCTTATATAGAACTGCAGATTAAATATGGCTATGTTAAACTATTTATCAAGCCAGTTAAGCATGTTATCATTTCCATTCGAAGTATTTTTAAAAACTAAAAATTATTCATAACATGTTTTTCCATATCACTGCTATAACAGTGAATTAAATCTCTTTGTTAAGTTCTATCTTTTTGTTTTATTATTTTTGTGTAATGTGCAGTGTATATGCTATTGCTTTCTCACATATATATATTGCGAACTTCTTCATTGAAATGTCATGATAGGACTTTCTCAGTAATGTGGAACGCCGGCCTTTTAACATGTTGCACCAAGTTTTCTGAAAATTATGTTCCTTTGATATTTGGCGCGTGTTCCGTCTATGTTCCTTTAGTGTTGGCGCGTGTTCTTGAAAGTTATATTTCTTAAGGCTAATATTTTTTTAGGGCAGGTTGTAGCGAGATAGATACAGAGCTATGAGAAATTGGTGCAGGGTCTTGAAAATGCTCTTTCTCTTAAGATTATGAAAAGACCCTTGAGATATTTCAGAATGACAATGCTATTATCTTCAAGTACTATTTTTTTATATTGATCTTCTTCATTAGTGAAGGTTCTACTCTTAATTATCTAGTTGTATTTTTTTTTGAAAGTTTTCATTGATGATTCTACTTATCTTTTTGTTGTCCTTAGGATCGGGAAATTATCACTGAAGCAACTCATAAATATGAATTCATTCTATATGCAAAATACATGTAAAAAAACAATGAGTGACTTCTTATAACTATACAAATTAGTAAAATAAAGGGCTCGTTATTTGGGACAGAGAATAATTTACTGAGTCATAAAGGTATATTTAATGATACTTCTTTTAATGTGGTTATATCTTTAATTGAGAAACAAATCATAATATATCACAAGAGTAGATCATTATGAACATTGTTGTTCATATAATTACCTTCATTACCTGGTAGACTTATTGATGCTAGAGACTATTTTTAGATTGTAAAAATTAAATGTACATGTAAGCTAGGATTAGCCTAACCTTCACACAAGGTAACCCCTTCATTCCTCCCATTTATCTATTGTTTTTTCTTTGATGTTCTGGTTATTCAAATCAAGTTCACATATAGAAGGTCATGCAGAAAAAATAGATCTTACAATGTTTCAAAGAAGACCCCAAAATGAAGGATAAAAGAAGAGAAAAATCAGACAAATAAATGGGTGACAAACTTTGGAATGGTTAAAGTTGTGCATTGTGTTGTACATGGTATTTTCATAACATTTCACATTTTTGTTTGAAGTTTGAACTTATTTTTCGAGCATAGTCTTGATACATTCATTACTATAATTTATATAACTCGAGTTCGTGTTAACGTGGAGTTGATTGATTTATTCTTCTACAAGCAGGATGTTATCTGTTAGACGACTACTACCTTTTTTTCCATTAATAACACAATTTTTGTTTCTATGAAGAATGATGTGGTTTGATGTAAGTAGTATATTCTTTCATGGTGCGTCTTTATAGCTATTTATATTGAACATCGAGTTGAACACCAAGTGGTCCACTTTACTTGAAGTTGTATGCTCTCTATATCTTTTCATGTTATTATTGGTTTAGTAGTCTTCTTCTTAGTTCTTACAAACGAAATGTCGTTTCTCAGATTTTGGTTGATCAAGGGCAGTCCAAATATCAGGTTTTCGGGAGTTCAGATCGAAGATTTTATACCTAAATCAAAGATTATTCTATATGCTAGTAGATTGACAATTGGATGGTCCTTGTATCTTTCTATTTTATTTACTAATTCATTATTATCATGCAATTATAATAGTACTCATGTATGAACTTCAATTGTTGTTTATGTCAAAATGTTTTTGCCCTCCGTGCTGGAATATTGAAGAGAAACCCAAATATATTTATATTCATCAAAGGCTTAGTAGATAACTTGCATTGATTGTGTTGGGCTCGTGCCATGACCTGTCTCATTTGAATATAACCACGAGTTAAAAGTTCGGCACACAATCATAAAGTTCTGAACAAATGCTTAGGTAGGTGGAGAGACGGCTGTATAATTTTAGTAGTATTAGCTAGGTGATACTTTTTCTCTGTTAAGAGCATTAAATTTAATCAATTTGTTATTATTGAATTATACATATATTTTTTTAAAATTTTATTTTTATAAATTGAAGTTCTTCTTATATTATTATGATGAAATATTATATTTTAAATTGTAAATTTAAATTCACTTACTTTTAATTTGAAACAGAGGGAGAACTAGTATAGATACTACAGTTATGAAGAATGATAGAATATTGTCAATTCGAGTCTCTCTAGATATGCAATTACTTTTGTTATGACGTACTTTTTCTTTGATGTGAATTTTTTTAATACAAATTTAAATTTGATGGTTTAATGTGAAAACCAAAACGCCGAAAAATCAAAAAGAAAAGGATTGTCATACTAGCTATAGCCCAGTGTTTTCTTGTTTCTATAGAAGATATCTACACATATAATGTTATTTTTCATCGATTAGGTGAGAGAAATAATTAAATTGAGGAATTAGAAAATTAATATAAAAAGTCTTATCGTCCATTTATACAATGTGTCTCTATAAATGTGACCAGAACTACTTTCTGTATCTCTAACAAACATTATTTGACAAAAAAAGAAAAAAAGAAATATTATGGCTAGTTTTGCAAACCAAAAGTTGTCATGTGGTTTGCATACCTTATACAACACAAGGCCATATAAGCCCAACGCCGAAACTAGCCAAACTTGTTCATTACAATGATTTTTATATTAACGCTGAATTTAACCACAAACATCTTCTCCGGTCCAATGGTCCACTCTCTCTCGACGGATTACCGGACTTTCGATTCGAGACAATAGCGGACGGCCTCCCATCGACACACCCAACGTCGATACGACACAACACGTTCATTCTCTTTGTGCTTCTACATCTAAGAATTATATATCAGGTACAATTTCTCAACCTTATTAATAATATTAAGCAAATAGTAACGATGTTGTTCCTCTAGTGACGTGTAACGTGTCTGATGTAATTATGTGTTTCATGTTGTGTATCCCGGAGGCATTGTTTTGGACTGCAAGTGCTTGTGGTTTTATGTGTTATTTGCACTATCATCACCTTGTTTAAAGAGGAAACACACCTCTCAAAGGTAATTATTTAACAATTTCACATCTACCTAATCAGACGTGGAGTCAAGATTAGGAGTTTGGGGGTACACAAGTTTATACTCATAAATATTTTTAATTTTCTAATACAAATATATGGTCTATGAAAAAGTTATTGGGTTCGTCCAAACCCATTAACCCCTACCTAGCTCCGCCTCTCTCTACCTTGCCACAAATCTTCACAAAATTGTCATTTTTCTTTCTGAACGGCCTCGTAATCTATCAGAATCATATCAAATCATATTTTTCTATAAAAAAAGTATGAAAAATCTAATATTTATACAAATTCAAGTAGGTAACTAAAAAATTAATTACATGCATGTATGCAATTCCATTTATTAGAAATTAACAAGAATCGGATTACTTAAAATAAAGGAAATGTTGTAACTAATAATAAGTAAACTAGCTTCTATATAAGACTCACAGAGTTAAAACTTATACCACTTCTTTCTTCGATTCATTGTCTTACTTTATTTTTAGTCCTTTTTATAAAAAAAACCCGTCTCTTTTATCTTCTTTTTCTTTTTTGACAACTCTTTGATTTTATATTTTTACCTAGAATATCTACAACATCAGATTATATGATATTTTTATACGTTATACACATATTTAGTTTATGATCGATACAAGATTCAAAATTTTAACTTACTTTTAAAATTAAAATTAGACAAATAAATGAAAGAAAATTCTCCTCTTTGTCCTAGTCACTAAATAAAAAAAAATCCTACTAATGAACAAGAGAAAAGGGTCTGAAAAATACTTCAATTTTAGCCAAAATTATTGTTATGATACCAAACTTTATGGAGGACATTTTACCCCTACACTATTTAATAGTATATTTTAAAGGTAAATATGTGTCCACATGAACATCATAAATACACATGCATCATTATAAATAGTAATATGTTCAAACAGCTAGTTAGTAAATTATGTAGGAGTCCTTCAAGTTTTATAGTTAGGTAGAAGTGACAAATAGTATAAATTAGGTTAAACGATATTTTCTCAATAGTCCCAAATTTTTAACTTGTAACATCTCGTAACTCGTAATATATAAGAATAAGCTAAGAAACTAAATTTTATATTTTTTTTTGGAAAGAATAGGAAAAATATGGAAAATTTTCTAATTTATGAAAGTGAGTTTTGGTCGTTGTCAAATGGCCATAAATTCTAGTTTAGGATGGGTTAGAGTCAATTTTTATATGGTTTGAAAGCCTTGGAGATATCTTTCCAATGCCGCTGAGGTTGCATATTTTGATATCGTATGAGAGAGATATGCCGATCGGATGTTGGGTTGTTAGATTGAGGAAGGTCCCAATGCGGGTTTAAGGAAGGGCAACCTAATCTTTTCACCCATTTATTTCCTATTTCCTTTTAGAGATTTATTTGGGGTAAAAATAAGTTTTAGTTCAGAATAGGAATTTTATTTTACAGTTAGGGCTTAAAGAAGAGAGAAGAGAGAAAAGAGGAAGGAAAAGGGAGAATAATAAAAAATTCATCAATAACGCCAAGATCATCAAGTGTATTTTTTTGGGGTGAGACCTTCTCGTGTTGGGTTAGTTCAACCACACACAAACTTGTTTAATTCACCGATATTGAGTAGATTGAATGATGAAAAGTGGAGTTCTTGAAGAATAATTTTTGATTTCTTGTTGGTTGAGTTATTGCATGCCTAGAGTTGATTTGATTCGTGTTTCCAAGTAATTTTTTGAGTCAAATTTATTGGTTTTAGTGATCCTAAGTGTTTGGATAAAGAACCATGGAAGTTTAGAGGGTTCGGAGTTGAAAAGCGGAGAAGAAAAGTTGAAATGCAGGTCCATAGGGCTTTGGGGCGCCGCGCCTCCCATATCCCCATAGGATAGTCTCTGTCCATAGGGCCCAAGGGATGCGCGCCAGCCAGAGCACCCTAACTTGGCCTCTAACATTTTGGGCCTAGCGTCCCACGCCTCTCAGAGCGTCAAGGACGCCACTTCACCCTTTTCATTCCCCATCTTTTCACACTAGTTCCTAAGTGATGTACCTATGTTTCATTGATGATTCCAACACTATAAGGTACATATAAACATCATGAAATTATCGATAAACATGCGATCACGAACCTTGAATCTATAATCCAATTCAAGGATAGTTGAGCGCAAAGTCGAAGAAGTAAAGAGTTAAGTCTAAAATTTATAAAATAAGTCAAAGCAAAGTTCTTAAGAGTTCTCTTGGGTCTTTAACAACGTTTTAAATTTGTTTTAAGAGTCAAATTTCAAGCTAAGTAAAGAGTAAACTTGAAGTTATTTTTTTCAAAAGTATATGGGGCCTAACTATCCCCAAGTAGATTTAAAATGTTTTCACATTTAACAAGTAAGGGAACTTTGATTTCCGAAGTGGAGCTAGTCATCAGAAAGGAGTAATAGCGTTATAAAATGAAGCAACCAGGGAAATTAAGATTTCCAAGATAGCCTTTGAGCTATGTTTTGAGCACTAAGATCAAACCACCGAAGAAGTTGTTTTAAAACATAAGTGCTAGTATATTTAGGGAGTAGCATTGAGCACTGAATTGAGGATGAGCATGAGTTCAGATAAATCGCATCTCAATAAAACCATGTACCCACCATAGGTATAAAAGGGTCATACTTTTTAGATGAACCCTTTTCACTGTAGACTAGTGGATCCATTAGGCTGTTTAGGTGTTATACCTTTGGCCAGGTATAGGATGCACTGCAGCGTGAGGTGAATCGTTGTATCATTACAATTACTCTTAAGTGATGGTTGTCGGTTAGAGAATATCACAAAGAAGTTAGTATCAGTTTAATTGTATTTTATATACTTCTTAGAGTTAATTGTATCCTTGTATACATTAAAATTTTACATCATATAACATCCCTAAAAGGAAATAGGTGAAGCTAGATCCTAACATATGTGTCATAAGTTTATAAGGTATTAAAATGGATAATTATAGTGTTAAGAGGTAGTGTGTTGAGTTTGGAAGTGAAATGTCCAAGAACATACAAGACATTCGAAAAATAGCCTTGAGACGTGCTTGTGTGTTATTGTGCCTTGACATGTTTTACTCGTTTGAGTTCAAATTGTTGTGAGAGATTCCTAACATCTATGTAGTGTATTTAGGTTTGAAATATTCGGGCAATACTCCCCAAGGACAACCCTAACGGTCCTTGATGAGGACCCCAACTATGGGTCATAACTGTCCAAGGCAGTCCTCACCTATGAAGCAAACGACTCCCCGTACTCCAAGGAAAGGCCAGTCGTTTCTCCACACTTAGGTGTGCGACATTAAGACCCCATTTGATGAGTCTCTGATCCAAACACGGTTGCCAGTATGGCCCGTCGTCTGGTCTACGAACCAACGATGCCTCCATCGGTTGACACCTGTAAATTTCTTCAGGTGTGTCGGCATAGTAAAGGTTAGTTTAGGAAATTCACCTAGCATTCTAAAAATATATTAGGAAGTTACTTAATGTGTTTTTGGGTATTCTAACTGACTTTATAAGTCTAAAACCTTAAAATTGAACTCATTATTCAAAATCAAAACACAAACCCCAAAGAAGAATTCTCTAGAACTCCATGGGAGCTTGAAGCAAGGTTGAGGCTAAGAGCTTGATTTGTCAATCAAATATGCATATTTTTCTTGTCTAATCATCAATAAATGTATGGTGTTTTATCCTTGAACTCTCTTTCTTCAAT